TTTTCCTACAGGTGAGAGATCACATGACTACCTGCTAATCTTCTCCTCCGGAGGGCTAGGGGCTGACAGGCCGACATGGAGACCATTGGAGAACTCAGCTCACCTGTTAAAAACTAAGGTCAGGGGCTTATGAAAGAGCTCAGAGGATAAAGGCACTTTCTGCTAAGTACAATGACCTGAGTTTGATCCCTAGTACTTAGGATGGAAGGAGAAAACCGATCCTTTTATGAACTGCCCTATGACCTCCACAGACATAGTACACACACACACACACACACACACACACACACACACACAGAGTCAGAACTTGGCTGTAAGAGGCAGAAGACCATCATTACACTACCCCCATCCCCCTCGGCTTTCTTAGATGGTCATCCAGGGGCAGGATGGGCTTCCAGCCCACAGGAAATCGCTCAGCAGTGAGCACTGTTTTCCCAGGGACGGTGTAGGGTCTGGAAACGAGCACAAAAGGCAACAGAAGTCTCTATAGACAAAGCCAGTGTGGCTGAGATGAAAGAGGGAAAAGAACGGAAAAGAATGGTGAGGGGCACTGGCATGGCGTTTACTGGGGGCTTATGAGGGTATGATAAACTATGGCTTGTCTTCCAGCTAGGAAGTGAGAATAGTTTCTCTCTTCCCTCCAGTAATGAAGACACACCAAGCTCATCCAGGTCAGGAAGAATAAAGATCAAGTCGTGCATACGGACTGTCAGTACAGAGGGAGAGTAACATTTTCTATATATAATTAAAAATATTCTTGTACATGGGTACACAGGTCGATTCATGAGGTGTATATGTAAGTACACAAGCCATGGTACACATGAAAAGGTCAAAGGACAATTTTGTGGAGTGATTTACCTACGCTAACATCTGAGGTTCACAAACTCAAGTTACTGGGCTCAAGCCATAGACCACAGACATATTTACCCACTGAGCCATCTCACCAGCCCTGTAGACTTTTAAAAATAATTTTTAATAATAAAAATATCTTTTTTTTTTTTTTTTCATTCGGCTTTACATCTAAGGCCATGAGATCTTGACACAAAGGCCATTCTGGTGTCTCCGGTTTTCTTTCCTGAGTCACCTCCTCTGGAAGGCTAAGGAGTCAACAGTTTAGTTACTTTGGTTTTTTTTTTTTTTTTTTTTTCTTTTGTTTTTGAGATAGGGTTTCACTATATTGCCCTAGCTGTCCTGGAACTAGTTCTTTAGACCAGACTGGCCTTGAACTCAGAAATCTGCCTGCCTCTGTCTCCAGACTGCTTGGATTAAAGGTGTGAGCTACCATCACCCAGTTAAGAATAGTTTTTCAAGTCAGCCCCAGGTGACTTCAGGGTCTCTGGAGGTTCAACACTGACTTAACACGTGATCTGGGAAAGGGGTTCAATTGAGACCCGTGCCTGAATGTTCACAACAGAAGACAAAAGTGAAAAGACCCAACAATCTGTGAGCAGAGGATATGGGCCGTGCCATCGTGTCATGAATGGACCACATCATCCACAATGGCATGAGTCAGTGGAAGATCTCCTACAAATGCTATGGCATGGGCACAGAGAAAACACTGTTCACATACCATGTGATCCTTCCTACATGAGAAGCCAGAACACACACACCACACAGCTAGAAGGCAGGTGAGTAGTTGCCAAGGCTGGGGAGAAGAGGAATGGGAGGTGCCTATCTGTCAATACAAGTGCTTCCTTTTTGTTTGTTTGGTTTTTTTTTTTTGTTTGTTTGTTTGCTTGTTTTTTTTGAGACAGGGTTTCACTAAGTTACCCAGGCTAGTCTTGAACTCACTTGTAGTCCAGGTCAACCTTGAATCTGCCTAACCCTCTGGAATACTTGGGATTTTAGGTTTGAGCTGCCATGCTCACAAAGATCTTCCTTCCTTCCTTTCTTCCTTCTTTCCTCCCTCCCTCCCTCCCTTCCTCCCTCCCTTCCTTCCTAGCTTTCTTTCTGAGTTTTTTGATATAGGGTTTCTCCGTATCTTTGGCTGTCATGGAACTCACTCTGTAAACTAGCCTGGCCTCCAACTCACAAAAATCTCCTGAGTCTGCCTCCCAAGTGCTTGAATTAAAGGTGTGCACCACCATGGCCTGACTGGGATTACTTTTAAAGTGATAAAAAAAAAAAAATGTTCTAGAGCTAGACAGACTGGAGTGACAGCTGCACACTAGCTGGCATGGATGTACTAAATGTCATCGAACTGTACTCTTTAAAATGGTTAAGGTGGAATTTAAGAATAAAACCAAAAAATCCAGCTGTGTGACTTTGGGGTAAGTTACACAACACAACCTCTCTGAACCTAAAATCACGAGCATATGACATCATGAGCACACATGCTGGTCCCCATTCGGCTCCCAGCATCCACATTAGGTGGCTCACAATCACTGAAACTCTAATCCCAAGGAGATATAATCCTCTAGCCTCCCTCGACACCTGCATTCCTGTACACATATATAAACACACACTAAAAACAAGTCTTTAAAAAAAAAAAAGCAAAATCCCCTTGAATTCACAGGTGGGGACAGCAGTGCCAGGTTTTCTTATCTCAGAGAAATTTGACACCGAATCAGCAGAACTCCAAGCTTCCCAAGGCAAGGTGACCCACCCCACCTACCCTGTGGCTGACAGTGAGCCCAGGAATAAGGAGGAGGGGTGAATAGGATTTCAGGCAGTCACAGAACTTTTCTTTCCTCGAGCCCTGGAACATATGGCAGGTGTTCTGAAAACTCCATTTCTGCTTTCCCAGGCTGGCTGAGGCCCATCAACATGTGGGCGGGGACGTCTGCCTCTCCATCTGGGAGGCCCTCTTCTTCCACCATGGCGACAGAAGCACAATGGAGTCTCCAGTGTGAGCCTTACATCCTGGCTCTCCAGACAGATGCTGGGGGAGAGCACCATCGCCCCAAGGAAATATAAGTCTCTTGCCCCCACCAGGCTTTTGATGCAGTCCACAGATCACAGAAACAGCAGGCCAAAGGCCATGGTGTGCCTGAAACTCGATGCCTGCTCTGCCCTTCTCTGATGGAGACATCTCACAGGCCTCTGCATCTCTTCCTGAGATGATAATACGCTACAAAAAGCTGGGCTCTGAGCAAAATTAGCTCCCACTGATAACTTGCAAGTTCTAGCTGGGTCTAGATTAGAGACAACTTACAATAGATGAAAATAAGGCAGGGTATGGGAAAATTGAAAGCCACTCTCCTGCCAGGCACGGTGACTTTCGCTGTGGAGGATGACAAAGTTTGGGGGCAACCTGATCTCTAAAGGGACTTCCAGACTCACTGGGATTACACAGCAAGATCCTGTCTCAAAAATCAACCAACCATCTGTCAACCAAACAATCAAATAAATAAATAAAATTCTAAAACTGCTGTGTGCATGTATGTGCCTGTGTGTGTGCATTCGTGTGTGTGTGTGTGTGTGTGTGTGTGTGTGTGTGTGTGTGTGTGTGTGTGTTTAAGCCATGGGGCCTTACAGCAATATGCCAAGAACAGATCAAATCCCAGTAGTTTGTAGGTGCTACCCTCCTATAGTGTTAGCTAGGAAATAAATATTCAATAGCACAGGGTAGTAACACAGCGTTGGGGAGAATGTAAGACCTGATTGTAAATTAAGGGTAAAAATATTAATATTAGGTACCAAGGAGATGTCCTTAGTGGCAACTGGCTAGTTTGAGCCCAGGATTTCAGGAACAATTTACTCCCCTGCACTACAGGCAGCACAGGGAAGTAGAACCCTAGTTCCTCCAAGGGGTTCCTAAGCTTCATTCATTTGGCTGTTTCCACAAATGCTCTTATGAGAGTGCATTGTATGCAAAGCTCTTTTCCCTCTCTGGAATTCTCTGAGTGCAGTGTTGTATGTGTATAGGCACATGTGTGTACATGTGTTATGAAGGTTAGAGGTTGACATTAGGTGTCTTCTAGATTGTTCTCCATCTTATCTACCAAAGTAGAATCTCCCACTTGAATCCATAGCTAGTCTAACTAGTCAGCTTCCTTGCAGACTCCATCTTAACCTCCCCAGTTCCAGGATGATAAGTGGATTGCCACATTCACCTGGCATATATGTGGGTCCTGGAGACTCAAACTCACAGCAAGCATTTTACCTACTGGGTTATCTCTCCATCCCTAGTCGGTGTTAATTCTAAGTATGATCCTGTGCATCTATATATCTGTGACCTTGGCTCTGCAGAAAGGTGGGGGAGGTTTCCAGTAGGGGTGGGTAGCCCAAGTTCACAAACGCAGAAAGAAGCAAGAAGGCAGAGGTCTGTGATGAGTCGGAGCTTCACTGGTGTGGCTACCATCCAGAGAGTGATGGGGGAAAAGACATGAATCCAGAAGGGAAAGAGCCTGAGGTCTGGCCATTATACTGAGGCTCTTGGTCTATCATGGAGTGGTTTTAATTGGCAAGGTGACATAGTAGACCTGTGTGGTCAGGAGCTCATCCAAGCCACAGTACAGTGATAGAGTAATCCTCACCAAGAAGGGCAGATGGCAAGAGGTCAGCTGCTTTCAGTGAAGCTTCCTTGGAAAGTGTAGAGCCTACAAAAGGAATGTGCTCAGACCCAGGGACTACATCATGGATCCAGCACTTAGGTCCAAATCAAGCAGTCCATCTCTAGATACCTCTAAAAACAGTGGAGGCTAGGGCCCATTTAGAATCCTCCTGGAGAGAGACAGGAGACATGAGATCAAGGACACAGACCTGGCACCAAGCAAATACTGTCTGTCATATACCAGCTGGGCAACCCAAGACAATTTCCTAAGCTTCTCTGAGCCTTGATACCTCCAGGTACCAAGACTGTCTTCTAAAGTCACTGTGTAGATTTATTAAGATCAAACTGTGAATATCCTTAGTTTCTCTGGTATATTATAGGTGCAAAAAATATCGCAGTCACTGAGACAGTTCCCACCCAGCAAAGGATGAAGGCAGAGGCCATGGAAATAGGTAATGGTTCAGCAGCAAGTCAGCAGGCTTCCCAAGGAAAAGGTTCTACTTACTTGCCAGCAGGAGGCAGGAGACAGCCACAGTATACAGCTGCTTGGAGGTGGTGATGTTGTACTGGTCCATAAAGTGGTCCAGCAGGTAGATGGCCAGGTGCCTGGCTGAGGGGCACAGATGGCAGTGTCTGCTCAGCAAGGTCAGAATGTCTACAAAGAACCGACGGCTCTTCAGGAGCGGGGAGTGGGCACGGAAGGTAGGAAGCTTCAGTTCCTGGAGGGAGGCAAACAATAAAGAGTCAATGGCACTTGGACCCAGGCCCGACTGGGGACTGGCAGTGTGGGCAGCAATTTCTCTACATCCTTGCTTATTTGTTTCACATCTCAGGTGTGGTACAGTTCCCATCCACCCTCCCAGAGCACAGGCCCATTAGAACCTCCATGACGACAGAGAAATCAGGCATTTCCCCCGAGAAAGGTGCTGTGCAGATACTCAAAACCACAAAACAACAGTGGCCGGGAGGCAGAGACCCACATCCAAATTATGGTTCTACCGAGCAGCCGAGTCTCTTCTCTTTCTTTGTTTCTTCTTCAGTAGCTAAGGTTTGATGAAAATGTGTGTGGATGTCTAGCACACGGGAGTCTCTCAGGGTTCTCTGTTAATTCCCTCTGCATAGGACTGTGACTGATTGTTACCCCCTGCCCCACTCCTTTGAGAAAAAAAAAAAGACTAAACTGAAAGGTGATGTTGGACATGACTATAAATAGTACTCAGGAGGCAGAGGCAGGAGGATGGCTGAAAGTTTGAAGCCAGCCTGGTCTACAGAGTGAGTTCTAGACAACCAAGGCAACAGAACAAGGACATGCCTCAGTAAACAAATACAAACAGAAAAATTTGAAAGAACAGTTCAAGGAACTAGCAAGTCCTGTCCACTGTGATCACTCATAGTGGACATTTTGCCTTCTGTCTGCATTGTTGAACAGTTTCCCACTGCAGGTTCTGAACGCCATCGCCCTCCTCTCTCAAGGTAGTGTCTACTTTGTAATTTCTACGCTGCCATGTTTTCTGAGTTTATCTGATGAACACAAGGAAAAAATATTAAACTAATACTTAAAAAAAAAATAGTGTTTCACTCTACGGCTCAGGCTAGCTAGAACTTACTACGCAGTCGTGGCCTGCCTTGGAGTCAAATACATCCTGCTGAGTCAGCTTCTCAGATGCTGGGATTTCAGATATAAGCCATCACATCTTTTTTTAAGATTTGTTTTTATTTTATGTGTATGAGTATTTGCCTACATGTATGTATGTGGTGTGTGTGTGTGTGTGTGTGTGTGTGTGTGTGTGTGTGTGTGTGTGTACATTGCCAGTGCTCTAGGAGGCCAGAAGAGGGCATCAGATTCCCTGGAATAAATGCTTGTGAGCTGCTGGGAACTGAACCTGGGTCCTCTGAAAGAGCAGAAAGTGCTCTTAACTGCTGAGCCGTTTTTCTAGCTCCCAATTTTTGTTTTCTCCCTCACTCAAAATAAAGGACTATGCACCCCTGTCTGTCCTGGAAGTAGCCATCCTCCTGTCTCAGCCTTCCCCCAAGTGCTGGGATTGCAGCTGTGCCTCACCACACCCTGCCCAACAAAGATATTTTTCTATGTTCATAGCAGCTTTATTAATAATATCCAGAATCTGGAAACAACTTAGATGCACCTCAACTGAGGAACAAATAAAGAAAAATCCAACAAAGATTTTTACAATATTTTTTTTTCATATACCTAAAGATATTTGCCTTTCAGTCAAGGTAGGTTAGATGTACTATTTGTTTAAGAAACATCTCTAAGCTTTTGGCCTTAGCGCTGTTTTCCTGGTAGAAGCTCCTGTCAGGAGATCAAGCTGGAGGAAGAAGAGAATGGGCAGGCCCAAGAGAGAATGAGGCAGAGGTCATACATCTGCCTGTACACCCACCAAGGCTACAGGCACAGAACTAAGGAATGCTGGAGTCTGGAGGCTGGATGCTGGCACATGCTGGCATATGTATCTCAATGGATCTACAACATCACCACCATCTGATTGCTGAAAGCACTGAGACAATTTTGCTCACAACACAAACAGTCCCCGATGGTCCTGTGGCCTGGACCTGTAGCATCCTGGGCTGGTTTAGTTCTCACATGTAGGTGAATGTAACACTCAGAAAGTGATGAATGCTTATATTCAACTAGATGTCTCTCTCTCTCTCTCTCTCTCTCTCTCTCTCTCTCTCACACACACACACACACACACACACGTCTTAGTGACATTCTGTCAAACAGAGAAACATAAGAGAAACAAAACTGAAGGAAAACGGGAAGAAAATTGGCAGACAAGGAATTATGAGTACTTATTAGTAACATTAAGCAAATTGGTCACCTCTGAAATGGTGCTGAGGATCAAACTGGGAGCCATGCACATGCTAGGCAAGGGCCCCAATACTGCAGCCAGCACCATACCCTCTAACCCTTTACTCAACCAGCTGCAGACTAGGACTAGAAAGAAGAGTCTGTTCATTCATTCGCTGGAGATATGAACACATTCACTTCACTAAGTATCGCAAGCCTTCTGCACAGGAGGCATTATTTTAGGCCCCAGGGATATAGCTTCAGAATGCAGACTCAAACCTACATGTAGGCTTTGAAACTGAAAAACTCTTAAAGGAAAATAGGAGGAAATGCATATGACTTTACACAAAGCAATGGTTTCTTAAATATGATCCCAAAAGCTGAAGCAACAGAAAGAAATATAAGGTAGATTTTAAAATTAAACTTTCATGCTGAAGAGATGGCTAAGCAATTAAGAGGGCCTGGTGTTTTTCCAGAGAACCTGAGTTTGATTCCAGCCCACAACCACCTGTGTAAATTTAGCTCCAGGGGATCTGACACCTTTTTTTTTTTTTTCTGGCCTCTGTAGGCACCTGCACATATGCACATATATACATAGATTTTTAAAAAATGAAATAAAAATAGGCAAAGTATGCAAAAGGCATTTCTCTAAAGAAGATTAAAAATGGCTAGAGAGTGATAGGAAAGATGCTGCCCATGGCTAACACCAGGGAAACACAAATCAAGCCACAGGGAAATAATACTTCATATTCCCTGGGATGGATGTTATTTAAAAAACAAACAAACAAACAAAAAACAAAAAAGAAAACAAAACAAAAACAAAAGTTTAAAATAAACAAGTGGTGAGAACCCTTGCACACAGGTAGCGGGGAAGCCAAATAGGACAACTATTATGGGAAGCAGCATGACAAGTACTCCTATTGCACTCCGCAGTCACCACAGGAGCCAGCAACCCTAGTCCTTGGTACAAACCAAGGAGAAATGAAAACATGGCCAGATCACAATGAAAGTTGCAGATACATGACAGCCGATTCCCTAAAGGGAGGGAAGCCGTTCTGAAGCTTGGGTTCAGATCTCCCAAACCCTTCTTCTCTTCTGGCTTGTCCTCAGAGGTCAAGAGATCAGGTCTGGACAAATTCCTTCCTGTCTTCTGTCTGTTTTAAAAAGTTCCTTAATCCCAAGGTTTTGCTGAAGTAGCAAGAGAACCAGAGGTCAGAAAACTTGCAAAATAATGGGTTTCATTCTGACATTTTCCTATGTGTATCACTGTACATTGCTCTATGTGTGTGTCTCATTTAGTTTAACCAGTACCATCTGTGTGAGCACTAGATTGGAACTATCCATTAGAGCCTGCTGGGGTCACCAGTGGGTACCCAACTGAGGGCAACGACTTTTTCCCCCTTCTTCAATGCATCAGTAGTCATTGTGAGTAACTGTTCTCCAAGCCCACCATCTTGGGACCTTCAGCTGTGTCCTCTTGCAAAAGTATTATCCCAGCTGGGCTTGTTGACTGTTTATACACACTTATGGTCACAAGACTCTCACCTGAATATCTAGCCATTCTCTACCACTCTTGCATATAATCCTGCCTTAATTGCATATGGCTCCTGGAAGGGGCTAGAGTATATAGGCTGGGGGGGGGGAGGGGAGGTCTTGGTGAGGATAGGCTTTATCTATCAAACCATAGGAAGATCTCACCCCTGCTGGGCCAAGGCTTTCCAGGTTTGGCTTTTGGGGGAGGCACTCACACCCCTTTAAGCAACCCTTATACTCTATAATGAAGACAAAGTCATTGGTTCTCCCAGGGTGAACTCTGACTGAGTAGTGCCTAGTAGTTGAGACCACAGGATATAGTGATAGATCAAGTTCTCCCACTGGGAAGGGATTTTGGCAATAATAGCAAATTCAGGAGTAGGGCCTGAGGTTCTCTGAACCTCTTCTCCATAGGGCCTGACTGTTCACAGGCCCATTCTTGTGCTCTGCATTACCCAGTAAATGGCTTGTTTTTTTTTTTTTTTGAGACAAGGTCTCAGGTAGTCCAAGATGGCTTCAAATTCACTATGCAGCCCAGGAAGGTCTTGAACTCCCAACATCTCCACCTCCCAGGTGCAGGAATTACAGGTGTGAGTCACTATGCTTGGATGGATCTATTTATTTATTTGAGGCAGTCTTTTGCAATGTAGTCAAAGCTGGCCTCCAACTTTCTAAAGTGGCCCAGGCTGACTTCAAACTCCACTTTAGCTCATTAGCTTCTGAGACTGTGTGGTTGAGTTGCCATGAGCAGATCAACATTTTATTTTTAAAATCATGAAGATATTTATATTTATTTACAGCTTAAATTAAGGAAACAGATTACCAAAGCTGGATGCTTTTTTCTCTACATTGTTTGATGGATTTATGTGGCTACTCCAGGAGTTCAAACTTCTTAAGGGAAGATTCCAAACCCCAGCACCTCAGTGTAAATACAACAGCTGGATGCCAAATAAACTAACTGTTGAGGGATGGAGGGAGGAAGGTATATTCTAGGTATAGTTCTGGGTCTAGTAGATGCCAGGGGACATCAGAAAGGAAACAAAGATAAGCTTTTCTTTGGTTTTGCTAGTCTGGAACTCACTATGCAGCTTGTCTGGTCTTGAATGCCACCCCCCCCCCCCCATCTCTGCCTCCTGAGCACTGGAATGACCAATGTGCCCCTACCTGGCTGGAGAGGCAAGTCTTGAAAGTGTAAGAATTTGTCTCTGAAGATGCAGTAAGGGAAGTTGCTCAAGCTGGACAGTATCTATAAAGCAGAGGTGGACGATTAGTGGTTAAAAGACCCAGGTGGGCCAGGCAGGCTGTGGTAGCACACAGTTTTCATCCCAGCCCTCAGGAGGCAGAGGCAGGCTGAGTTTGAGGCCAGCCTGGTCTACA